CTTTATTTTCAAGGTGGCCTGAACAGAGTGTTTTAGGGCAGCAAACCCTGGTCTCAGGCCACCTTGCATTTAGCTTAAAAACCACAGCTTTGAAACCTCATGCGCGCCATACCCGGGAACAGAACTGTAGCTACTTGTAACTACCCTGGGTCCGTATAAATACTATGTTGTTGTATACCTCTTACACACCTATACAAGTTCAAAGCACGAATGAGACTTCAAAGCTGTGGATTGCTATGCGTATGTAGAGGTTCTCAAGCGGTTGACGGAAAGGGAACTTGAAGTACTATACCTAGTAGCTACACTATGGCTACCCTAGGTCTCTATACCTTGCAAGGTGCCAACTACACCTTTCCATTCAGATGATGCAAATGATGCATTTGGCATTTCTTGCATCACCACCCCTCAAAAATCACCTCCAATACAACCTCAAAAAACCTTCCCTCGGAGCACCCTCCTCCCCCAGCATGTGCCAAGTTGACGTATACCTTTCTCGGGCCACCCCCCCAGACCCCCTAACTACTCACTTCGTTCGCCAGACACAACTCCGCTAGCGCCTTCTACGAAGGCTGGCTTTCGTAACATTCAAGCTGGCTTTAGGTAATAACCATAATTTTGTGATTATAAATAATTCCTGGAAATTCATGAAACAGTGGTCGCCAGCCAGTTTCATTATTGTAGCACACACACACAAATTACATTGTTCTTCAGTGAACCCGCAGCTGATCCAATGTGTCCGCAGCTGGCAGTACAGAAATCTTGCAAAGGATGAGCCGGTGAAAATTATCTGGCAAAAGCGTTTCTCAACTTCTAGAAAGGGTGATGACATGGTGATGAAAAAAACTTACAAAAACTTGAGATGTTGCGTAACGTTTGCCGGTCGATCAACAAACGTGTTCCGAAATCTGCATTTAGAACGCATGTCGACCTTCAAAAACCTTCAAAACACGCAACGCCTGATTGGGAGGATCCCTTGTTTTTCTTCCGCTTTGCAACTTATTTGGACCTTTGGGATCCTTTGGGTGGAAGGACAACCTAAACTAGCTAGAAGGAAGGCTGAAACCCTCAAGACCTGCGCGGAACCCCGTGCAACTGTCTTTGGAATATCCAAACATCCTCAAACCATTGACGTCTTTGACATGGTTTTGAAGTTCGGGCAAAACAATGTTGTCTCCGAATCTTTCAGCCGAAACAAGGACGAAGGTGAGATATTTTCAAGCAGGTGGGTCTGGGTCGATCAAACACAATGATAATGGTTGGACGCTTCAAAATTGAATGGATCAAGACTCAAAACACTCGGGTGCTTGATGTCGGTGGTTCTCAGGCAACATCTGCGCTTTGGACTCCTGAATTGCGCAGGTGTTTGTGTCTCCGGCCTAGTGATGTCTAAGCTCGGAGGGACCTCTTGCCTTGGAGGATTCGTCGCGAACTTGCAAAGATAGGTCTTTTCGGGGTTGCACACTATCACCAAGGCTTGAAGGAATTCTTCAAACTCATGATTCACTGGAACTGTTTTGAACGGCCAGTCGGCCAGCTCACACCAAAAAAATAATGTGCTGGCACATAAGGAGGGGCAAGCACTTAGTTGATTCGATAGAACATGAACGTCTTGTGCGGGTCAGCACTTGGTTTTGATGGGACAATAACGCACAAACCACCAATGACATGGATAGGTTGAGAGATGACAACATCTGCTGTGCTATCAGGAAGTATATAAAATATAATGCACGTGTGTAGACAGCTCAGCTCCCTAATTACCTGTTGAACGAACGAACTGAACAAACATGAACAAACACAACAAATCATCACAAACGGTTGAGTGGAAAACAACAACATGAACAAAAAACATCAGAAACAAAACTGCCAATCCGCAAAGCACATGGAAAAGTGATGAAAAGTGAACCTTCCTGGAAGCCGGAACTTCCGGTGCCGAGTCGCAGATTTGGCGCGTCGACACCTCAGTCTCTTGAGGTGCACTATGCACTTCGGTTCGGATCGTATTTCGGGCCACAACCCAAGCAAAACATGTCCTGAAACATGCAAGTCCTTGGCTAGATTTGACCCATCCACAGTGCGTTACGGGGATCTTGCGGTGATGGTCCTTTTTTCTTCGCAGGACTCTTGATTGATTGGGGCAAATGGCTTTTGAGCCTTTGATCGGTTGGTCCAGTCGAAACCAGGTCATAGCTTTCGGCTGAAACTGTGTCCATTCTGCCTGGCCAATTCATGGGACAGGAACGAAGGAATAGATTGGACATGGACTTACCTTCAGATGTTTAAGCTAGAACCATGCATGACAAAGTCCAAGGACATGGAATTCTTGTCTGAGCACGGTTAAGCAAATAGACTTTCCCTCTTCCAGGCCTTCAAACCCTTGAGGAATCATCCCACCCACCCCGCTGCAACACTGGGATTTGTGGATCACAGTTCTTCTGCACCTACAAACAACAAACAAAAAGGGGGTACGTTTCTCCCAAATGTTTGTCCCAAAACCACAGGAAACGTCTGAAAGACCGAAGCCTCGGAGATGTTGCTCGACTGGTTGGGATTTCTTGGGAAGACCCCTTGACCATTGAGTAGTAACTGAGTAGTAACCAGTACAAGTCTACCTGGAGTCCTGAAGACGACATATAGTGCGCCACGTTGATCTTGTTTCCTTTTGCAAAGGTTCTTAGATCTTGAAGCACTGCTGACGGGGACGTGAATCCAAACACTCCTTTATATACTATATTATCAGCCGTGCTTCTACATGCTCTGCGGTTCATCCGAGATGCTCGGTGCGATGAGAAGGTTGTACGATATATAGTATCCCTCTGGACCCACATAGGCCCTGAGAAGGTTGTTAGATAATCTGACACTGAGGAGCTGAATGCACAGCAAGCAACCAGTAGCCAACCCAGAAAAGCCAGTGCTGACCAGTGGCTCATTCTCTTGAGCAAACATGGACAAGCGCTGGCGCGGTGCGACAAAAGCGGGCGACAAGCTGGCGTGCCCACGAAACGAATCAGTCTTGTCTCTACAATCCTTTCAGCGCATGAATTCTGAAATAGAGGAATTTGCAAAGCAGCTTCAACACCTGGCGTGCTGATGTGTTGCTTTCAATGCTCTCTTTGGCAAGGTCACTCATACAAGTTAGGACTCGGTAGTGGTGATGGAGATTACACTTGGGACTCTGCTGGTTAAACATTGAAAACTGTCCTTTGCTATGCTTTCTGGGTCCAACGGTCTTGAATATTGTTCCATTCGCCTCCCAACTTGAGCCAACAGATTCAGCCATGAGCCGTCATTTTCTGTTTAATGCATGGAATGTCCAAGCGGTGCCATATTTATACATTGATGTGTATTTTTCTTGTGGACAGCCAATGCAATATCACGGGTATACATAAATATATATATATAATCATAAAACGTATCAACCTCATTCGGACCTAGAGAATACTGCTTCAACATGGCACCAACTAAAAACCCTCTCAAGAGGGCAGCTGGATGAACAATTGGTGCTTAGGTGGGTAGGGGTTCCTCATGTTGAGACAAATTCGGTTCTTGGATCTGATCACCAAGAAAAACCTGCACTGCATCGCGTTTTCATCACGTGATTCGCTGCGGCGAGGCAGTGATGTTCGATTGGGCCGCCAAGGCAAAGCCAACCTGCAATGGTTCAATCGATTCTATGGAACCCTTGGAAAATGGAACATCATGTACCATGTGCCTAATTATAACTTGGTTGTTCACTTGGAGGTATCCCTGTATTCATCATCCAACCAATACTAAAAGGCCGTCTATGATCCTGATTCATGACTCCATCTCAATTCCTGTGAGCCACATCGATGAACTCGGGATCGTACATTTGGGCGGTTTTGTGCCGTATGCGGCAACGGCCCCTTGACATTCATTCGTTTGGGTTCACCCATCATGCATTAAAGAATATTAAAGGAACATGGTGCAGTTTTGCTGCGTATGATCCTTAGTGTTTACTGGGTAATGGGGAACAGCCCCAAGTAGTTATACTTGCAGTGATTGGCATGCCATGTCAAAACTGAATCACTCGCTCTTCATGGACGTGCTGATGGAATTTGAAGCGCACGACTAAGAGTGATGTGTTCAGGTTCTGTTCTGGAGAAAATCATCTAGCAAGTTGTTTTTGCACAAATCGACAGACTCCTTCATGGATATGAGATTACAATAGAAACAAAAGCATGCAACATTAATTTTCATATACATGTTTGTACCACACCAGGCTTGTTTCGATGATTTGGACTTTAGAACCCTGCATATTGATCTTCACGATTCGCGCCATTTTATATACATGGTCTAGGACTGCAACGATCGCGGACACATTAAGGCACGTTTTAACAAACTTCACGCACACCATAATTTGTCTTCAAGGGTTCCAAGAGAAGCTGAATGTTCCATTGCTCTGTTGGTGGTTTCTGCTTGGATCATCCATTCAATGATAGGGTTTCATGAGAATTGCTGAACGTTTTGCAGGATGGTTTCTACCTACTCCCCACCAAATCATCAAACCTGCTGTTCCTCATCTCAAACGCCGTGATGGTGGATGAAACACTCTAATTGGGTGCAGAATCAGGCCGCAGCTTGGGAGAAAACACTTGTTACTTAAGTATTAGCTTCTTGTTACGTTCGTAGCGATGGCCTCCTACTTGCGATGGCCTCCACCAAGCAATTCGCGTCCGAACGCTACCCATCGACTCGCCGTCGAAGAATCCACCGACTCGACCTGAAGGTTTTCGCGATCGTAGACTGTGTAGTACCTGCGGAAGCGTCGATGGACTCGATCGACGGAATCGGCCATCGACTCACGCTGAGTGAGAGACACATTCTTTGGGGATATGCAATGGGCGTGTCCAAACACCACGTCAAGCCTCGATCAAAAGCTATGTTGGTGCTTTCTTTGTTGAAGTCGGAGTAAGGTGACTGGAAACATAGACGACAACAACAAGAACAACAAATATCGTACTGTAATACTACAAAGAGAAAAGGAGACATGACGAGTTCTGGCTTTGTCATTGAACATCTCTGCTTCCTTTCATCTTCGACAGGAGTAACCTATTCTTCCCCCCCTAGTAGACACACAGTTCAGGTCCTTCACAGTCGCCACCTGTCGCCACCGGCCGTCCCCATTCCGAAACGAAACGGAGTCCCGTCTCCGTCCGCCGCTCCCCGAAGCAAGGCGCACTTCCGCAGGAAGGGATCCCCGAAGATGAACAAAGGTCCCTTGGGCGGTGGCACATCCATGGTCATCAAAGCCACCTCGAAGGCGGCGATGCCATCGATCCAAATGGCGGTCAATGAGAGTGGGAGACCAAATGTGGCCAATCATGGTAAATGGTTGACAGGGTCGATGAGAGAAGCCTGAAAAGCAGCTAAGACCAGGAAAGCAGTGTGAAGAACATACTAGGCACTGCAAGAGTTCTTCCTTCAACCCATACTCTGCCGACTAAATCAAAGGTCCAAAGCGGCATCAAGCAACATGTCAACCGAACGGGTATCATCATCACCATCATCATCATAATCCCCGGTGTTAAACACGCTAAACTTTAAACAGCACCATGGCCCGATGGTAAGGTGTTTTGCGTGACAGGTATTCATTTCAGCGTGAGATCACGATGAGGTGAGTAATCAGTTGTGGCGTCAAGTAAGATAAGCGAATGCAACTCCGTCTGTCTACGAGTGCCTGAATACATGTAGTAGCAAAGGTGCCGAGCAGCCGAGTATTCTTCCGACCCACCGCGCATCGCATCTCTTGGCGCGGCTTACACCAAGAAGCGGAGCAACTGTGGCCGTCGCGGTCCACGTAATCCTCCGAAAGCGCCCCATCGAGCAAATCGACAGCACGACTCGCGAGGAGTAGAGAACTATAAATTTACATACGTCTTTGGGCTTCTCAAGTCCTAGACAAAAGAAAAGTGTTCCGTATCTGGTTGCTACTCTTACTCTGAACATGCTTGGAGCCTATACTTCAGAGAGGCTGAGTAGACCACAAACCGCGAAGACAAACATCTGAAGTAAATACAATGGTTTCAGGGTAGATGGTACAAACCCGAACAGGTGCTTTATATAGACCCCCATCTAAAGGACATCTTAGGGGCCTGTGCCATCTACTCTGAAACGACATCAAATTGCGATACCCAGCCGACGCATGCCGCCTCGGGGCTCAGGGTCAGCGTGTGGCCACCCATGCGGAAGCCCAGGTCCTCGCGAACGTGTGGTGTTCTGTCGGCTTCTGGTTGAGTCGTGCTTGGAGTCAACATGCTATCGTTCAGTGCAAGCAGTGGTCAACTCCACAAACTCGACCTGTCCTTTCAGTGGTACGTATTACTACGGTACGCTTAGCAGATTTTCGCAGGGTACTCACATGGTACTCACAATGCATGTATGTTGTGGATATTTTTCCAGGCACAGACATGAGTTACAATAAAACGTTTGCAAAGACTAGATTACTCTATCTCTGGGCTTGGTCCCCCCGAGCAAGATGAACACAAGCAGGTCAAACCCTCAGACACTGGTTGCCCTGAGGTCATAGGAGCAACATAGACGTCCGGAAATCGGGGAGGTCGCCATCTAAGCTATGGTCTTGTGGTGTTTCCTAGTGACATGTATTGACCCAGAGCCATATATGGCAGGATTCTAAAATATAAATAGAAACTCGGTTTAAAGCTCCATGCAGCCATTGGTCTTGCCAGAAGTCGACATAAGTAAATATATTATGTAAACAATATATAATTCATGATTAATCATGCTATAACTATAAAAACTCACCTACCCTCTACATTGCAAATGCACCCTTTCACCCGCATCCTGTAATCCAATACCAACACCTTCTGAATCTGATACAGTATTTCGGTCTCTTCACCTTAGAAAGCTGGGTTCAGTCGGTGGATTCCATATGGACTAGGGCCATTTGAGTCCAGGTACAACTGCCCTTGACAACTTGGCTCCCTTCGTCTGAGTATCTGCGAAAGCATCTGAAAGGGCAACAGCACCAACCCCCTGGTCCAACCATCGCTGAACGAAAACGTGTGGTCCGGGAGGGAATAGAAGTTCGAGCAGTCTTCGGCAACTTTTAGCCTCCCAAGGAGGGATGGTCAGTTTTCCAGCACACAGGACTGGACTCTGTGTAGCTTTGGTGCTCGTATGAATTTCAGAATTTTGAAGCGGGTTCCCAATCTTCCAAGCAGCCAAAGATAAGCCTTCAAGCGCCAAAGAAAACATCCGGCCCGCCCACTTTTGCATTGCTGAAGCTCAGCATTTTAACCTGTTTAAGGGTCATGAGCTTCATCCAAATGAACAAGAATGGAGGTGGATCAGAAGAACACCGCAGCTTCTCTTGGCGTTCACGCCCTTGTGGCTTTGGGGCCGCTCACGACAAACCCTTTTGGCAGTCATTGCTATCTTAGTCAACGCCTCCGAGATCGTCCAAAACTGCACAAACAGCCTAACAGTAAATACATGTCAGAGTCAACAACTGCAAAAAAAACATGATCCCAGTTTTGCATGTTCCCGGGTTCATGCATGATCGTTCAACCTCTTTGCAACCTCTTTGGTTGCTCCAATCCAATCAGGACGTTCGCTCATCAGCTTTTTCGCACCGCTCGTCAACAGCTTCGGTGGCCATCGCTTGAACTCATGGTCCTGACGGAACGGAACGAGTTGGTGAGTCAACACGGTCCGCTTCGTGCACCAACGAGCCACAAGAAGCATGTATTAGCAAGGAACGCATGGTCCCTCACCCACTAGATTCTAGATGCTTAGATGGTAGATGATATTATCATGAAAAAAAACAAACACATTCTGGTTGACAGAATCTTGGCTTGCCGTCATGATGCATGTATTATGACTTGGTTGCACGGTAATTATTGGGAACATACATCCTACATCATCCTTCTATAGCTTAGCCACAATGTGTTGCAATATGCATTCAATGTCTCTGAGTTGGCTTTTCTTGATTGCAGTCTTCAGTGTAGCAAAAGGAGTAGAAAACCTATCCATCTTACCATACACGCTGTGTGTTTTCTCACTCAACCCGCACAAACACAACTGCACTCCTTGCGTAGATGGATGCAAACACATCTTTGTCCAGCAGAATCATTCTCGATCTCCTTGTGAGGATGCTACTAGGAACAAAGGGCATCGCTACTAGGAGCAAGGACGCTACTAGGGGCTCCTGGCCTTACTACTAGGAACAAGAAGCTACTAG